AAGTACTGTAAACTGATGACAATATCGAGCTAATGGCTGCGAACTTCGAATCTATCTCATAAAACGACGTTCTATATTATATCGAACTAGGATTATTTTAGAAATCGATATGAGATTCAAAGTGCAAAAATGTCTAGTACTTTGAATGTTTTAGAAAAGTATTCGAGATAAAGATGTATGGAACTACTGAAAATTACTTTAGATTCCTTTTCCTTATTCTGTAAATTCTTTGATTGGAATATGAATGTTGCTGGAAGTATGAACATTTTCACAGGACAATGATATAAATGGAACTTTTAAACTTTTTTAAGTGTTACAGTGATATTTCGTTACATGTTCCATAATGTCAATAGATTTCCCCGCAACATCCATAATTATTACAAATGTCAATATAACGAAATATCTTTTATGCGATGTTTGTAATGTAATAAAAATCTGTGTTTCGATTATGTTTTTGATACGTATTACTCACATATATGTAATAATATAGAATAAAAATATCCTGTTAGTCCGATATTTGAAAATATACATGCGTTCGTTGTCACTGTTAAACTGTTGTAATAACAATGGAATAATAAAATAATTTACTCAAATGTACATAATAATACATATACATATTCATAAAAACAATATTAAGCGCAATAACTTTTTTGTACGCGAAAAAAAACCAATAGGTCCGTCGGGACTGGAACCCAAGACTCCTTTCTAATATGTCTAGAGGGCAGCAGAAAATCCCTGACTTTTTACACTATCGGTATTTCAGAACATGAGACGCGAAGTCCCATAAGATGATAGGTCTATCCTATACCTCGTCGGTGGTGCTACTACTTCTGAACGCAGCCAATATGAAAACTCGCCTGTAGTTACCTGTATTAAATTCCCGCCAAACTGTTTTTATTCGTTTCGATCGACGGCAATATCGAATGAAGTGTAATTCTTTATATACATATACAAATTAGAGTTAATAATAATTGAAAAATGGATGTCGGTGATACTCAAGATTTTCAAAGACGTGTACCTGATGAAGTTGGAATTAAGTGTCAAAAGTTATTTCAAGACTTTTTGGAAGAGTAAGATTTTAAGTTGTATTACAATTTATGCATAGAATACTAAATATGCTTATATTAAATATTACAAAGAGGCATATTAAAACGTATTTCTAATCTTTAATATGTTCTTTTAATTAGGTTTAAAGAAGATGGAGTTGTGAAGTATCTGGAACCAGCGAAAGAACTTATAAGCCCAGAACATAGTACATTAGAAGTGACTTTTGATGATGTAGATGAATACAATCAAGTACTTTCAACGACTATTGTTGAAGAATATTACAGGTGAGACATTAACTTTATAGTTACTGGGCCTGTTAATATTTTGTTAGTTATCTTATTTTAATGTTACCTATACCTTTGTATAATGTTGCACATTGTAACATAATTTTTTTATGCAGGGTTTATCCATATCTTTGTCAAGCATTGTGTAATTTTGTCAAAGATATAGCAGAATTAAGAAAAGAAAAGGAATGTTATGTCAGTTTTATAGAAGTACCCACCAGGCAAAAGTTAAGAGAATTAAATGCATCAAAATTGGGTACACTGATACGTATATCTGGACAAGTAATAAGAACACATCCTGTTCACCCAGAGTTAGTGCTTGGAACATTTGTTTGTATGGACTGCAATACTGTCATAAAAAATGTAGAACAACAATTTAAGGTATAATGTCATTTTTTTCACTAATATACACAAGGGACAGGGTATTACACATTTTAAAATATATAATTTATTCAATGTTATAGTACAGAATGTAAAAAAACAAAGTATGTAGTAATATGTACAGAGCTTTGGCTTTCCATGAATAATATTAAATTCGTATTACCACCATTATCTTGTTTAATACGAATTTCTTCATGGAATCAGTTTTGCACTGCAACTGATGTTCAGTAAACTGTTGACTTTATTCCACACTTAATATTTGATCAAGCCTTTGGTTTTACTTAACAGCAAATTTTGACAGTATTCTGGCATTATACTATACCACAAGATAATTAATGTTTTTGTCTTTAAATATGCCCAGACTATCAGGTTTAAATCTGGGTTTGAGCAGGTCATTTTACAATTTGAAATGGTTGAACATGTAGCCAATTTTTCATCCTTCTCACAGATGTTTGAGTCATTGTCATATTGGAATATATCACATTCTAGTACTTGCATACTCTCAATCATTTCTCCTAAACTTTTTCTAAAATATTTTTATACACGTATTGGTTCATTATATCCATTCCATCTATTTGATGTATCAGTTGAGTGTAACACACCAACATACCATAACGAAACCACTACCGAATTTGTTTGTTTAACATAAGGCGGTTAAAGAGATTTACCTCTCTATTTTCAACCACAAACGTCCATCCAATAAAAATTGGTTAATTTCACTTTCATCTATACAAACTATTTTTTGCAAAATCCAAACAAGCCTCGATGTTTTTCTTCGAAAAAGCGAGCTTTTTTCTTTTCAGCTGCTGCTTAATTAGTTTCCTTTAGTGCTCTCTGAACCATCAATTTACTAATTCTTTTTCCAATGTTTTAAAAAAAAACATTGTGTTGCCATTAATGCCGTCGTTATTAATTCTGTAGTAATGAACCTTGCTAATATTTTCTTCTAACAAGATAATAATTTCGAACACCCACCTGTAGATGCAGGGACTTGTGCAATATTGTTTTTGTATTTTTGAAACTATTGACTGACTAATGCAAAGCTTTTTGGAACTTTCTATGTTGATAAGTCATTTCGTAGTTAAAAAAAGATGTTATTCAGACTCCGTGATAACGGCTTTATGATGGAATGTTAATAGTACTTTGATATCTTCTACTGTATAAACTACAACAAATTAACAATTGACACAGTTCCGATTATGAAAGTCAACAGCCCTTGTTGATAAAGTTGTGTTTACAACTATTGGTTCCAATAATTGTATTGCAATGCAAAACTAATTCTACGAAGAAAATTTGTGTTGAGCAAAATGATGATGGTAATACGAATTTAATATTTTTCATGGAAAGCCAAAGTATTGTATATAAAATGTTATTTATGATAAACTTCCATGTGTGTTCAGTTTTGTTCCTTACTGTAACTATTGTTATATTATTACAATGCAAATAATACATTACAGTTTACGAATCCGACAATTTGTCACAACCCGGTTTGCAGTAACAGACGACGTTTTATGCTAGATGTGGATAATTCAGTATTTGTAGATTTCCAAAAAATCAGAGTACAAGAGACTCAAGCAGAGCTGCCTAAGGGTTGTATTCCACGCTCGCTTGAAATAATTTTAAGATCTGAGGCAGTAGAAACTGTACAGGCAGGAGATAGGTATTTTAGGGAAAATAATTGTATCATATTGTTCATTTATGAAAAATATAAATAAATTATTTTAAATTTTGTAGATATGATTTTACAGGAACTATGATAGTTGTACCTGATGTTAGTGTCCTTTCTCTTCCTGGTGTAAAGGCAGATGTTAAATCAAAGCGTCAAAAAGTTACAGAACAAGGAGAAGGTATAACAGGTTTAAAATCGTTAGGAACTAGAGAACTGACATATAAAACGGCATTCTTGGCTTGTAGTGTTACCGCAACAAGTTTCAGGGTACAATACAAAATTGTTATATTTATGCATGATACATATATCGGTAGATACATGTCTTAATATACATAGAATACTTTTAGTTCGGTGGAACTGAAACAAACATGGATGAAATATCTCAAGAAATGATGAAAAAGCGGATGTCTGAAGCAGAATGGAATCGTATATATGAAATGAGTCGCGACAAAAATCTTTATCAGAATTTTATTAATAGTCTATTTTCTTCGATACATGGTAATGATGAAGTGAAAAAAGGCATTACTCTAATGCTTTTTGGCGGGGTGGCGAAGACAACGTTAGAAGGCATTTCGTTGCGAGGAGATATAAATTGTTGTATCGTTGGTGATCCTAGTACAGCAAAATCTCAATTCTTGAAAAGTGTTGCTGAGATTACTCCAAGAGCAGTTTACACTTCAGGAAAAGCATCTTCGGCAGCTGGTTTAACAGCTGCTGTAGTAGGAGACGAAGAATCTTCTGACTTTGTTATTGAAGCGGGTGCTTTAATGCTTGCTGATCAAGGTATTTGTTGTATAGATGAATTCGATAAAATGGATCCTAGGGATCAGGTCGCTATTCACGAAGCTATGGAGCAGCAAACAATTTCGTTGGCCAAGGTTTCTTAAAATATAATAATTTATACTATGTTTTGACGTTATTTGTTACTGTCAAAGGCATATATGTTTTTAGGCTGGCATAAGAGCAACTCTAAATGCTCGAACATCAATATTAGCAGCAGCAAATCCCATTGGAGGGCGATATGACAGGAAAAAATCTTTGCAACAAAATGTTCAACTAACAGCTCCCATTATGTCTAGATTTGATTTATTCTTTATAATAGTTGATGAATGTAATGAAATTGTGGATAATGCGATAGCTAAACGAATCGTCGATTTACACTGTGATAATTGGCAAGATTTTGAAACAGTATACTCACAGTCAGAGATTGTTAGATACATTAATTTTGCTAAACATTTTAAACCTATACTGAATCAGGTATTCTATACTTTTAAACGTATACCCTAAACAAGTACATATATCTGCAATTGTATTAATTACTCAAATTTTATAGGCAGCTGCTGATTTTTTAATTGATGGATATACAACACTTAGGCAAAAGACTGGTAGTGGTTCTGGAACGTGGAGAGTTACTGTTCGACAGTTAGAAAGTCTCATTAGACTAGCAGAAGCTATGGCTAAATTAGAATGCTCCGATGAAGTTACTATAAAGCATGTCAAGGAAGCAAAACGTTTATTGAGTAAAAGTATTGTTACTGTAGAACAACCAGATATAGACTTAGAAGAAGCCGAAGATGGAAATCTGAATGTTGATATGGATGATGCTCCACCACTTATGGCTGCTTTAAATGCACTCGATAATAACGATAAGCCAAGTGACACACAACGTAATTTATTTTACTCACCACTTCCTTTACATTTAATATTTTTTCTTAATATTTTTCTTATTTTCTTATTTATATGGTTGTCAATGCATTTTGTGCAAACAATGGTGACTAGAGCCTCTAGTAACCTGTCATTGTTTTCGTTTCTATTTTTTTTTGTTTTTATATGTTTTACATATAGAAATAGAAGAAGTGCATAAAAAGAAGTTAATAATGTCCTTCGAAGAGTACAAGAGTTTGTCTAATATGTTGATATTGTATATGAGAAATGAAGAAGCTCGCGCTGAATTGTCTCCTGGTACACCTCTAAATAACATTACAGAAATATCAGTCTCCGCTATTTTTTTTAAATGTTAAGTATTAAATACATTTTCTGTAGGCGACACCAAAGGTGGATTAAGAAAAACAGAATTAGTGGCATGGTACCTTGATCAAATACAGGATCAAATAGATTCCGAAGAAGAATTACTAGAAAGGAAAAGCTTTATTGAGAAAATTATTGATAGATTAACATATCATGTATGTATTAAAATTATATTACCTCTAACATTTATTTGAATTGTATTTTATAACAAGTAATTCAGAGAATTTAGACTCTTGCATTTCAGGATCAAATTATAATACCTCTTCACACAATTGAACTCAGAGGACACGATAAAGAAGATGAAGAAGATGATCCTTTGCTTGTTACACATCCTAATTACATTATTGATACTTAAAGTGTAAGAAAAATTTTTAAAATAGTAACAGTATATAAAAGTAGTTGGAATCACTGAGTATTTGCTATTTGAGTAATTTCAAAAACTTTCTCTTTTTGTAGCAGAAAAAAAAACAAATAAATATAGTAATACAGATAGGTTTGTTTATTCTACATAATTAAGTTAAACTTCACTTTACCACTAAAACAATTATTTTTAACTTTTAATCATAATGAAACAGAAAGGAACACGAAAAGATTACAGATTAATAATCATGATATTGCGTTATTACTGTAAAGTTAGAAAGTAGTATATATACGTCGTTTACATTTTTAAGATAAGGAAACAAAAGGTATGTTGCAAATTTGTTTCGGTTTAGGGACATATTTTACCTATTTGATTTACTGTACCTTGTATTTGATTATCATTTTACAAACATTTCACTTTTTCTCAACTAATAGTGTATTAATTAAGGAAAGTTTGATTTCAGATATCAAATAAATGTTATCCTCTTATAAGGGATTAAAATGGAAATTCAACCATGTGGGATACATTAACTATTAAATTTGATGGTTAATTTATTCCATGTAGAATTTGTTCTCTTATGGGGTACTTCACTGCATTAATAGAAAAATGTTACGTACGTCAAAGAAAAAATGTTTTCAATAAAATACTTGTTCCTCTAAACTAAAAGAAAGAATCTTGGACTTAGAAGTTTTGTAGTATTTTTATATTATTATTATATGTATATACATATTCTACATATAATTTACAACAATCATTCTGATATTTACATATAATACATTGTACATATGTTATTCACTCTAGTATATAAAAAATGTTGCTCCAGATTTGATGTTCATCTTTCCTGTGTTTTTCAATTCTAGGCAACCACTAGATAATAAATAATAACTGAAGTGGATTACTTTGCCACTAAATAATAGCCAAATACATTTTAAGTTGTAATAATGTTCATTTGACTGCATACCAATGTTTAAATTCTCTTGTTCAATCTCCAGCAATCATGTCTTTTATAATACATTTGGCAGCCATAGTTCCAATTCATTCATTTGGAATGTTTTATGCTTTGAACAGGCAAATGTTAAAAATTACTACCAAAAGAAAAACAGAACAGTATACATACTTAAGAAATATAACTTATCTTTTTTGAAATTGGTGACTAACCCATTTTCTTGCATATCCTTTGATGTTCTTTTTAAGTTTCTTCTCTTAGGAAATAATCTTTTAAGTTTTCCACTGTCAATTTAATAAAGCGTGGCGCATCTTCTGCATACTTTGCCAGAGTTTCTAATGCATGTTGTATTTCTATTTTGCTGGTATCTTCTTCATAATATTCAATCTGTTTTTCATCAAATATGTCCTCTGTATCCTCTTGTTCTACTTGATCTTCCTCTGTCACATCAATATTTTCTTCTTCCTTACATTTATGTAATAATCGTATATTGTGTCGATTTTTGAATTTTGCTATCCAACCAGCACTGGCTTTAAACGTCGAGGGTCCACCGAATTCATCGTTCAGTTCTAACGCTTTTTTATGTAATAATAAATCAGTAACAGGATCTCCTAATGTTTTTTGTTCCAACCACCACGCATATAAACGGTTTTCTATATCCTCAAATGCAGGTTTCCGTAATTTCTTTCGTTTCCATATTTGAATTCCTTGTTCCGCAAGATGATGCTTTGATAATACATTTCGACGAATGCGGCGAACAGTGGTAGGATGAATCTGATATTCAATAGCTAAACTTCTGACAGATACACCACACTCCAATTTTTCAGAAATTTCTATTTTCTGCCTTATTGTGAGCGCAGTTCTATTCCTCATAGTACTGCTATCTACCATTTTATTTGGTACAAACTCATTATAGTTTGTCATTTTACATTACACGCGATAGCAATCGCATGTATTTGGTTATCAGATATCGATCAGATATCGATCACTGACTGGTGTACAAGTTATAATATGCTATGTACATGACAAAAGATTATAGCGACTAAAAGAAGCCCAAAGAAGCCTTTTCAAGAAGTTTGCGTGGACACTCAGCAAAGGAGAGTTCATTTACTTAAGCCTTAAGCAACAGACTCTTCGTCAAACATTGTCAAGCATCGTCAAGATAACAACAGATAACGACAGATAACAATGACAACTCAGCTTGTCACGTGCAGCGTGCAGGGGGTTGAACACAACTGAACGTTGAACACAGCTTTCTATTAGGGTGTAACAAAAATGTTGCAAGACCCGGACATGGGGGACTCATGAGACGATTTGGAATAAGTTTTTCCTTAGAAAAAATGTCATCTGAGGCTTTGTTAACGAAATATTAACGAAAAACTCCGGCCAATCAGATCGCGAGTCTGCCGGCAGAGCTTCTGCGGTAGCGTTGGCTACGCTCTGCAGTTGCACTATGTACGAAACTCCGACAAACAAATTGGCATACATCGCAGAACTGCGTATACAGCAGTGATGCCAGAATCGTGGGATGCTTTACCCCCACCACTCCCCCACTCTGACGTACGATCGTCTCCCACTTTACGTCCACCGTGCTGGCAGCACAAGCATATCCCAGCCCTGCCGTGTGCGCTGGCCGTTCGAGAGACAGTGAGCTATATTTAGAAAAGAGTGGGGGTAAACCGTTCCACGATTCTGACATCACTGCTACCTTGGAAATTCTGTTCGATTACCACTGCAGCGAAATTCACGTTCCCGACGCGATGCCCCGCAATCTAAGCGCGTGAGCAATAGTCAAGAGACCTTGTTGGAATCCCAATGCGGCGGTTTTACTTTTTATTTTTAATTATTTCATAATTTCACTTTGTAACCTCTAAGTAAAATAAAAAACTTAAAAAATATTAATTTGTGAGACATTTAAAAAGAAGAAAATAAATGTTTTCCACTTCAATATCTAAATTTTTTATTATATACATACATGTTATGTTGTATATACATAAATTATTTTTACAATTAGATGTTATCCTTACAACCCTACTCATCACTACTCTAAATATTCGTACAAAAATCTATTAGATTTAACTGCAATAGTTTGGAAATTTGGACAGTAATGAATTTCTAAAAGTTGTTTCAGCGGTAGGGGATATTAAATTATATTAATTAACAATAAATATTTTAGAGGGCAGGATGAGACATAATTTGAAACATGGAAGACAAAATCGGTGTAGCCGAGTCGGTTAAAACGAGTTATCCATATACAGGGTGAGGCATTTAAAACCGGCCACTTGAATAACTTGACTGCTATTGGTGATAGGAAATAATGCATCAGACCAAAATTATTTGGTATCGAGAGGCTGATCATGCGATGTTATTAGTTTTTTGATAGGTGGCCAACTCCGAACCGATCAAAGCGCTGATGTAAACAAATGTGTATCAGCGAAAATACATAATCGGTAACTGGGACGGCTTGACGATGCGACATCTAACGGCAGTATCTACAAATACATTTTTTCCCTGTTACCATCAAGTCGAGTTTGAACATTCTGCTACGGGAAGACATTGTTGCCGGACTGTATTGAGAGTTTTGCTATGTTGTTGCCGCATTACCCCCGTTACAATTCTGCCCATCAGCATTTCATTCGTAGTTTCGAATGAAATTTTCTTCTTTTGTCTGTATCTTTATTTGAAGGCTTCGAACAAAACTTTGAATAACTCTTGTCAGGTCGAATAACAGTCCTGTCGAATTAAATTTTGAAAAAGAAATAATTATAATTAGCTACTTTTTATGAATTATAATGTTACACTAATCAAAAAACGTTATCACATTAAAAAAAGCGACGATGACCTTGAGATATTGGAAAATATGACTCGTATCATTAAAAAAACGGAAATATTTCGGGTGAAAATCTTGGGTAATTCCATTTTTCATCACATTTCAGATCAGTCACATTTGTTAGTCCCTTGTCTATAAACTGAGAGTATTCAAAATTCGGTATCTTGTTGGTAAATTGAAAACAAATTAAAACGTGTTAAACTCGCTACATAGTAGTTACAGCGATTCTATTTCTATTTTGTAGGGGTGTACGGGTATCTGACATTTTGGTTTTGGATCGGGTCGGCAAAATTCGGATAGAAGTGGAAAGGAGTCAGAAAAGATTTCTAAGATGGGTGTTGGGAGTAGAATGGGAGATTCTGGGATATCCAGTAAGAGACGAGACAAAGTAAAATAAATAAATAATAATTAAGTAGTAATAAGGATAAAATAAGCGAAAAAAGGAAGTCAAACGAAAAACGAGATAGCAAATTTGTACAAACGTACATATTATAAAAAGATTTAAACATTGTATAACATTATTTTGTTATAGAAAAAATTTAGTTAAATAAAATTTAAGGCATTAAATTTTTTGATAATGCTTATAAAAATTATTTAAGAGATCTTTATACATATTGCAAGCATACAAAATAAGAAACTACGATTTCAAGTAGTATTATTAAGAACCTATAAAGTTTAGGAATGCATTGAAAGCTTCACAGAATGTTAAGAAATAAAGTAATTTCTTCCAAAACTCTTATTGCAATTGCAATACATCCGATTTAAATTCAAAGTGATTCTGGAAAAATATTTTCGTGTATAGTACTAAAAAACTGTGTTATTTGTTTAGTGGCAGTGTATTCACGTTAAATATTTTCGATTACGGATATCAATGTACGAGCTACCCCAGTTTTAAACGACGGGCTATGTTCATCCGAACAAGGATATCGTTATCGCTTACATGGACGTGCTATGCGCGTCGCAACCATATATGTATATGACTAGTTGTTTATACAGTACATTCTCATTATATCCAGCACAAAGCGCAAGTGATACGGCGACAGACGGTGTCAGTTTTATCGGAGAAAATGCACCGGACGTTTACATTGACTGGGAAATGCTAAACTTTGCACGTGCACCACTTTTCACAATTCCATCATGTGTCATTCAGTCGATAATATTCTCGTTTCTTAATGTCGCCTCTTTTTTGAAATTTCAGTACATTTATTACTGTTTCAC